TTTATATATATATATATATATATATATATAAATTTTTTTTGGTTCCATCTTGTCTGTCTCATTCACACATCCTGAATCCTCATTTAAATAAAAACCCTCACTGCCTCCCATTCCATGACAGAGTCCTAATTTTTTCACTTTGACAATCTGGTCACCCTATCTATGGCTCTCTTGACCTAGAAAAATCTTCTACAAGTAAAATGAAAATTCTTTGAGTGCTGTAATGGGAAAAGGTCCATCCAAGTAGATGAATCAATATTCAGCATTGCCCTAGAGCAGGGGTGGCCAACCTGTTGCTCCAGAGCCACATGCGGCTCTTCAGAAGTTAATATGCTGCTCTTTGTATAGACACCGCCTCCAGGGCTGGAGCTACAGGCGCCAACTTTCCAATGTGCTGGGGGGGGGGTTGCTAACTGCTCAACCCCTGGCTCTGCTACAGGCCCTGCCCCCCACTCCACCCCTTCCTACCCTGAACCTGTCATGCCCTCCCTCCAACAATTCTCCTGCATGCTGTGAAACAGCTGATTGGGAGGTGCAGGGAGGGAGGGGGAGGCGCTGGCACTGATTGGCAGGGCTGCCAGTAGGCAGGAGGTGCTGGGAGCGGGGGGTGGAGCTGATAGGGGGGCTGCTGATGTATTACTGTGGCTCTTTGGCAATGTACATTGGTAAATTCCAGCTCCTTCTCAGGCTCAGGTTGGCCACCCCTGCCCTAGAGGGATTCAGACAGTATCCCAAAAAAGCAAATCTGTATATGAATCAACATTCACCATTCCTCCTCAAGAATGCAGGCAAAGTCTCAAGGACACTGATGGTTGATACATGTTGTTATGCAATGTTTTCTGTGGAGGGTTGCAATGAGGTAGAGTTGCATATGTATAAACTGATACAAACTGGCATTTCCCTGGAAAGTCTGAGTCAAAATCCCACACATGATGGTGATTAAGACATAGAGGAGTTTGGCTACAAGGACACTGGAGAATGCCTACAAAATATTTTGCAGGCCTGGAACTAGCTGAAGCGATGCCCTCCCCACGAACACTGAAAACTCATCTCCCTGTACAACTGGTGCCTCCATCCTTTTGGGAGCAAGAGTGTAAGGTAATGAGGGGAAGGTGGGGCTCAAGTCTACTTTATTTGGAAATGAACTGAAACTAAATAGGAGTGAGGCAGGTTTCCAGACTCCTTCTGAAATCTAGAGGCCCATCTTCCCTGCAATATATAGCTTCTGTAGGAAAGTGAAGGAACTTCAATCACAAATTAGTTTCAGGAAATGGCAGCTCCCAAGCAGAAAACTTTTATGGCTTTGGTGATCATCTTTTGAGAGAGAACACAGCAGGACACTCTGCACCCTCTGTACATGTCTAAATCTATAATGTTAAATATACATTATTTCATTTCTTCCTTTCTCTCACTTGCTTTCACACCCAATCCAGATAATCTATGTGGCAAGAAATGCCAAAGACAACCTGGTGTCCTACTACCATTTTCACAGAATGAATAAAAATATGCCTGCGCCAGGAACCTGGGAGGAGTTTTTGGAGAAATTCATGGCTGGACAAGGTGAATGGAACCAATTGTGCAACATCCTATTCCCTTTTTTTTAATGCTATTTATATTAAGCCCCCATCCAAACACTTCAGCAGGAACTCCATTCCATCCTGGTGTTTTTACCAGTACTCAAAAAACACTTCCTTTCTCCATCCTCTCACTCCAGGGAACTCCTCTCTCTCTTTCTTCCCCCACTCCCCTTCTCCTCCATGGTCCCTAATACTCACAAATTCCTTGTTTTAAAGCTTAATTTTTTTTCTAAAGCTTTTGAGGTTAAAGGCATATTGCTCAGCAGTCAGCTGGAGAGGAATGATAGTCTGGCGCTCTGGAAAATGTTTCTTATGCAGACTTACTGTGTAACCTTGGCCAAGTCTCTGCACAGCAAGCCAAAGTGTGAATCTACACCACACCAGCTTGTCACGCAGTAACAACCCATGTAAATGTGACATTGCTACAGCACTCCAACAGGCCCAGATTACAGCCTAGCTTGCTACTAGCAGTGCCCACAAGGGATATTACCATATGGCAAGCTGATGTGCTGTAGAGTGACACCCTAACTTGCTGTGCTGTAACTTGCTGTGCAGAGAAGTGCTCAGTCTCTCTGTGCCTCAGTGTTTGTCTCCACACACACGCACACTGGGTTTCAGAGTCCAAGCAGGAACATCTACATGGCTATTTTTAGCACTGTAATGTGAGCCTCACACCCTGAGTCTGTAGATCCAGACTCTGAGATTAGATGACGCTGGTTTTTAGTGGTGGGGTTTTTTTGTTTTGTTTTGTTAGGGGTTTTTTGCAATGTAAAGGACCACCCCACTCCAGCTCCCCATCTATAAAATACCCCTATTTTTCTGGGGCATTGTGAGGATCAATACATTAAAGATTAAGTGCTCAGATACTCCACTTATTGGGGCTATATCTCGATAGATCAGACATTGCTACTTGCTGACTACTACTTACTCTCTTGCTTTCAGTGCTTTGGGGTTGCTGGTATGATCATGTAAAAGGATGGTGGGATGCAAAAGAAAACCACTGTATTCTCTACCTCTTCTATGAAGACCTAAAGGAGGTGAGGGGTGAGTCAGGGTTCATAGTGCTCTGTTATTGCCATTCAGGGTTCCAGCAGGTATGAGCTCCCCACAGCAATGTTCTGTTAATACCAGCTGGGTCTCCAGCTGATTCACATCCCAGTGATAGATATGATTCCTGCATTTAAAACTTCCTCACAAATTTTCCCTATCTGATTTATTTCCCCTTCCTGGGTCGGTTTCTTATCCAATTTCACTCCTTCCACAGGATCCAAAGCGTGAAATCCAAAAGGTGTTACAGTTCCTGGAGAAGGACTTGGAGAATGAGGTTCTAGATAAAATCATCCACCACACAACATTTGAGATAATGAAGGACAACCCCATGGCAAACTACACTTTTCAGCCTCCTGCAGTAATGGACCACTCAATCTCACCATTCATGAGAAAAGGTGCTTGTAGCAGTGTGGCCATTTACAGAGTGCCCTCTTGTGGCAAGGGAATGCTTTGCAGGTACCCTGCCCTTTTAATCCCCCTCTGGCAGGATCCTTAAGAACTGCATACGTGGATAAGAACACACACACCCCACCCCACACCACACACCTGGGGCTGGTTTAATAACGAACAGTCCTTAACAATCCTCAGGGTTCCAAAATAAAGTCCATCACCACACAACAGTCCATACTTTGCTCTGGTGTCTATCTCAGTCAGAGCAATTCCCTCCTAGTCTATCCTCCCAGCTCTTCCTAGCTGGAGCTTAGCTCCCTGGCCTACAGGCCCACGAACTTCTAGGCCCAAATGCTGTCTGGGTTTCTCCACAGAAGTTTCCAGCTCCCTTTAGTCTCAAGGTCTTCCCTGCAGAAGCCCTTCATGCTCCCTACAGTGTCTCTCATTTTCCTAATCTTCCTAATTGATTGCAGCCTCCTTTTGCATTTTATAGGACAGTCACCCTGATCTCTCCCAGCTATGGCTCATTCTATAGTACAATCTGAGCCAGCCCCAGCCCTTAAGGGGTGAGTCAAGCTGTTACAGTGTTGCTGTTTTATATTTTTAGTATTCCCTCATCTTCCTTCCTGTTATGTTTTGAATTAGCACTTCATTTGAACTGTTAATATCTTTTGAGTTAGTGATAATGGATTTCAGGATTTGGGATGAAGTGGAAGAATTCTTCCTAATGGTGATTGAATATCTCTTTGGCTTTCCTGTATTGTAGGGACTATTGGAGACTGGAAGAACCATTTCACAATGGCACAGAATGAGAAATTTGATGAAGATTATAGGAAGAAGATGTCTAGAACCTCTCTGACCTTCCGCATGGAGCTCTGAGAAGGGGCCATACGGATTATTCTCTATAATCTACTAGCACTTTCCCTATAAAAGCCTCACAAAATACCAGTGAAATCTAAAATTACAATGCCCCAAGTTTCCCACACCACTGATTTCACAGGGCTGAGCATCCTCTTTCTCTGTGTAAACCTAATTTTGAGACAAACATCTTAGTTAAACTAGAGTCAAGCAGCAATGTACTGTAGAGAATTTGCAGGAGTCCCTCAAAATCCCACCCCCAAATTGAAGAGGTGGCTGGGGTAATTTCCCTGATGAAATTTATCCCCTCATCCCTAACTTATTCTTGGTGTTCATAAAATTCTTCTGAAGAGCAGGGCTGTGGGGTCTTGTTCATTTGCTTTTTTTGCATTTGTAAAATTTTAGAGGATAATATCCACTATTTTTAAAACCATTCCCGGCAGCAAGTAAAAACCCTGAGATAGAAGGCACTATTGAAGTGCAACATGCTGTTATTGTTTGTATGTTTTCAATGTGCTGGGCAAACTGTAATCCAGCCTCCCATTCCACTAGTGCAGTAAGTAAGTACTATTAGCTACACTGTGCAGATGGTGAAATGGTGTCATGCAAGAATTTGAAGTTACTTATTTCCCCCTCTCCTCCCACACATACTGCATGCTATATAAGATCTAGCCCTAAATGACTTGCATTGGCAGCAGTTTGGTCTAACAAATTAGTTTATGGGACTATGAATCAGAAAACTATACTCGTTCCACCTCTAGGACTGACCTGCTCTCCAGGCCTCAAACCAGTTGGCCACTAAAGCTAGGCACCTAAATCCATACTTTGAAGTCAGCCAGATACTGGGATGTCTCAGCACTTTTGAAAATCAGACTGCTTAGCTAGGTGCCAACTATAGAGTTAGAGCTGGATCTTCAAAGGTATTTAGGCTCATAACTTTTTAACAGAAGCTAAGGGGCCTGAATACCTTTTGAGGATCTGGGCCTGATGTACTGAACTTTAGGCACCCATGTTTGAAAAATTTGTCATTAAACATAACCTTTCTGAGCCTCAATTTTCCTATTTACAAAATGGGGATAATGAAATAAATGTACCCCTCAAAGTGGTTGTGAAGCATGATTTGTGTTGTAAAAGCACTAAGGGGCTTGAATGAAGGTATTATGTAATTGCAAGTAATATGAAGACCATATTGTAGGGAACAGATGGGAGTAGAACTCAAGAGCAACTTTGTTCCCAATTCTCACCTCACTTCACAAGACTACACTGCCTCTGGTACATCTATGGGGTAGGGGGTGCAAAACATACATTTGTGGGTGCAAAATGAATTGCGTGAGTGAACAAGAGAGAGCACATGGACACAAGGTGTACAGGTTTCACAAAGTCATTCACATCCTTTTCAAAGACCTGTCATTTGCGAGGAACCTCCTAAATTCTACCAGGCCATGAGAGCACTCTGATGTTTCTATTTCAGAGGCAAATAACGCCAAAACAAGCACTTCAACTTCTGCCTTATAGAGTCCTATGGAGTAGATCTGATAAAGAACATTAGAATTATATAAATATGAAGTTTCTAGGCCAAGCCATTTTTGAGAGATGACAAAAAGAATCTTCAGAACTTAATGTATGTCTACTCTGCAGCTGGGAGCGAGGCCTGCAGCCCACCTAGACAGACTCACTGTAGCACACTAAAAGTAGCTGTGTGGACATTGCAGCACCAGAAAAGGCTCAGACTAGCCAGGTGATAAAGTGAAGGTATCAAGCAGAGTGCCACAAGGGTCAGTCCTGGGGCCAGTTTTGTTCAATATCTTCATTAATGATCTAGAGGATGGCATGGACTGCACCCTCAGCAAGTTTGCAGATGACACTAAACTGGGAGGAGTGGTAGATATGCTGGAGGGTAGGGATAGGATACAGAGGGACCTGTAGAGGATTGGGCCAAAAGAAATCTGATGAGGTTCAACAAGGACAAGTGCAGAGTCCTGCACATAGGATGGAAGAATCCCATGCACTGCTACAGAGTAAGGACCGAGTGGCTAGGCAGCAGTTCTACACAGTAAGGACCGAGTGGCTAGGCAGCAGTTCTGCAGAAAAGGACCTAGGGGTTACAATGGACGAGAAGTTGGATATGAGTCAACAGTGTGCCCTTGTTGCCAAGAAGGCTAACGGCATTTTGGGCTGTATAAGTAGAGGCATTGCCAGCAGATCGAGGGACGTGATCATTCTCCTCTATTTGACATTGGTGAGGCCTCATCACTGTGTTGGGGCCCACATTACAAGAAGGATGTGGAAAAATTGGAAAGAGTCCAGCGGAGGGCAACAAAAATGATTAGGGGGCTGAAGCACATGACTTAGGAGGAGAGGCTGAGAGAACTGGGATTGTTTAGTCTGCGGAAGAGAAGAATGAGGGGGGATTTGATAGCTGCTTTCAACTACCTGAAAGGGGGGTTCCAAAGAGGATGGATCTAGACTGTTCTCAGTGGTAGCAGATGACAGAACAAGGAGTAATGGTCTCAAGTTGCAGTGGGGGAGGTTTAGGTTGGATATTAGGAAAAACTTTTTCACTAGGAGGGTGGTGAAGCACTGGAATGCTTCATTTTCTACAAACCCCCAAACCCTCCCCCCCAAAGAAAGAAAAAATGGCTACTGTATTGGTAATAGTACTATACCGGCAACTAGCTTTAAGTGGACAATACTGGTGTACTCCTATTGCTACTAATTTCCTTATTTGATGGTTCATTTGATGGTTACCAATGAAAGGGTGAAGAAAAGGAGGAGGGGTAAGGAGACAACAGAGAGGAATGGCAAAAGCCCAGAGTTAGCAACATGACACATCTGAAGAACCCTTCAGATGGGGCAAAGTGCACGGACAAAGTGAGAGGAACAGGACAACTACTTATGGGGCACAGTGACAGAGAGGTATGAGAGCCATGAGAGGGAAACATCAGTCCAGATACTCAGGCAGAGAGAAAGAGAGTAGTATTTTTATTCTGACTGGAGTGTAGATTTCTTTGCTTACTTGCTGACTTTCTTTACATGTTGATTGTACTAAAGAAAACTAGCAAAAATATTAGGGGCGTTCAAGAGTTCTTTTTATTTTCCTTCCTCCATTTCCTAATTTAAGAAAGCCACATACAAGAATACAGTGACAATACTATGGAAATAATATAGTTCATTTGAATGCTGGCACAAAGAGAATCATAGAATATCCGGGTTGGAAGGGACCTCAGGAGGTCATCTAGTCCAACCCCCTGCTCAAAGCAGGACCAATCCCCAACTAAATCATCCCAGCAACTATGTCGCCCAGGGGTGAGGGCTTCTCCTGTCAACATAACTACCACTTGTTGGGGAAGTGGAGTACCTATGCTGATGGGAGAAGCTCTCCCTTCAGCATAGGTAGCATCTTCACTAAGGGCTACAGCAGCGTAGCTGCAGCGCTGTGCGTGTAGACAAGTCATCAGGGAGGTGGATTACCTATGCCGACGGGAGAAGCCCGTCTCCCATCAGTGTAGGTAATGTCTTTGCTGAAGCACAGCAGCTGCACCACTGCAAAGACCCTTTGTCTTGGCTAACAATTAACAGAAAAAGTACAAGAAATGCTTGTTGGTGCAATTTCTCTTTTGGGCCAGTAGAGGTTGCCAAAGATCTAGCAAGCAGAGTCACTGCTAAACTACAGTCTATCTATTGTTTTCTTCTTCTACACTGTGGTGGGTATTACCAGAGGCTATCAATTATTTACATTTAAAAAATGTATCCCCATCTCATGACCTGTTGGGTGTCTCCAGGAACCCAAGAGAGACTGAAAAATATAATAAGTCTTGCTCCATGACAATTGCCCTGGGCAATAAGCAGGCCACACCCACTTGCAGTTGCCTTCCTCTTGGCTTTCCCCTCACAGAGCTGTAAGCACTGTCAAAGGACAGGGCCAGGACTCTCCATGGACACAAGTGACACACACGGGCACATATATAACAATAATTGAGGAAAATCTTTCAACACTAAAGGCTACATAATGCCTGTGAGGCACATCTCTGAGTAGGGTAGAATACGGGGCCACCCCACCCCACTGGGAGCTCAGTCAGGGATAGTACCTGAGGTCACCAGTGCACTAGAAAATATTCTTTAGGATAGTGCAGCCTGCCCATCCCACTATCAAAGGGGTAGCCGTGTTAGTCTGGATCTGTAAAAGCAGCAAAGAGTCCTGTGGCACCTTATAGACTAACAGACGTATTGGAGAATGAGCTTTCGTGGGTGAATACCCACTTCTTCGGATGCATGTAGTGGAAATTTCCAGAGGCAGGTATAAATATGCAAGCAAGAGTGAGTCAGGCTAGAGATAACGAGGTTAGTTCAATCAGGGAGGATGAGGTCCTCTTCCAGCAGTTGAGGTGTGAACACCAAGGGCGGAGAAACTTTTGTAGTTGGCTAGCCATTCACAGTCTTTGTTTAATCCTGAGCTGATGGTGTCAAATTTGCAGATGAACTGAAGCTCAGCAGTTTCTCTTTGAAGTCTGGTCCTGAAGTTTTTTTGCTGCAAGATGGCTACCTTTAAATCTGCTATTGTGTGTCCGGGGAGGTTGAAGTATTCTCCTATAGGTTTTTGTATATTGCCATTCCTAATATCTGATTTGTGTCCATTTATCCTTTTACGTAGGGACTGTCCAGTTTGGCCGATGTACATAGCAGAGGGGCATTGCTGGCATATGATGGCATATATTACAATGGTGGACGTGTACGTGAATGAACCGGTGATGGTGTGGCTGATCTGGTTAGGTCCTGTGATGGTGTCGCCGGTGTAGATATGTGGGCAGAGTTGGCATCGAGGTTTGTTGCATGGATTGGTTCCTGAGTTAGAGTTACTATGGTGCGGTGTGTAGTTACTGGTGAGAATATACTTCAGGTTGGCGGGTTGTCTGTGGGCGAGGACTAGCCTGCCACCCAAGGCCTGTGAAAGTGAGGGATCGTTGTCCAGGATGGGTTGTAGATCACTGATGATACGTTGGAGAGGTTTTAGCTGGGGACTGTATGTGATGGCCAGTGGAGTTCTGTTGGTTTCTTTCTTGGGCTTGTTTTGAAGTAGGAGGCTTCTGGGTACACGTCTGGCTCTGTTGATCTGTTTCCTTATTTCCTCATGCGAGTATCGTAGTTTTGAGAATGCTTGGTGAAGATTTTGTAGGTGTTGGTCTCTGTCTGAGGGGTTGGAGCAGATACGGTTGTATCTCAGTGCTTGGCTGTAGAAAATGGATTGTGTGGTGTGTCCAGGATGGAAGCTGGAGGCATGAAGGTAGGCATAGTGGTCGGTGGATTTTCAGTATAGGGTGGTGTTAACATGACCGTCACTTATTTGCACCATGGTGTCTAGGAAGTGGACCTCCCGTGTAGATTGGTCCAGGCTGAGGTTGATGGTAGGGTGGAAGCTGTTGAAATCCTGGTGAAATTTTTCCAGAGTCTCCTTCCCAGGGGTCCAGATGATGGAGATGTCATCAATGTAGCATAGGTAGAGAAGGGGCATGAGTGGACGAGAGCTGAGGAAGCGTTGTTCCAGGTCAGCCATAAAAATGTTGGCATATTGTGGGGCCATGTGGGTGCCCATAGCGGTGCCACTGGTCTGGAGGTATATATTGTCATCAAATTTGAAATAGTTGTGTGTGAGGATAAAGTCACAAAGTTCAGCAACCAGTTGCGCTGTGGCATCATCAGGTATACTGTTCCTGACAGCTTGTATTCCATCTGTGTGTGGGATGTTTGTATAGAGAGTCTCTACATCCATGGTTGCTAGGATGGTGTTTTCTGGAAGGTCACCAATGCATTGTAGTTTTCTCAGGAAATCAGTGGTGTCACGGAGAGAGCTGGGAGTGCTGGTGGTGTAGGGTCTGAGTAGGGAGTCCACATATCCAGACAGTCCTTCAGTGAGAGTGCCAATGCCCGAGATGGTGGGGCGTCCAGGATTTCCGGGTTTGTGGATCTTGGGTAGTAGATAGAATAACCCCGGTCGGGGCTCTAAGGGTATGTTGATTTGTTCCTGTGTTAGTGTACGGAGTGTCCTGAGTAGATGGTGCAGTTTCTTAGGCTAGGTCTACCACTACGGGGCCGGGGGGGGGGGGGTTTGACCTAAGATACGCAACTTCAGCTACTTGAATAGCGTAGCTGAAGTTGCATATTTTAGGTCGACTTACCTGGATGTGAGGATGGCGGCGAGTCGACCACTGCCGCGCCGCCGTCGACTCTGCTTCCGCCTCTTGCCACAGTGGATTTCCAGAGTCGATGGCAGAGCCATCGGGGATCGATTTTATCGCGTCTTCACTAGATCCCCAATAGATTGATTGCTACCCGCCGATCCGGCGGGTAGTGAAAACGTGCCTTTAGTGTATTCCTCAGTGGGATCTAAGGGAAGTGGCCTGTAGAATTTGGTATTGGAGAGTTGTCTGGCAGCCTCCTTTTGGTAGTCAGACCTGTTCATGATGACAACAGCACCTCCTTTATCAGCCTCTTTGATGATAATGTCAAGGTGGTTTCTGAGGCTGTGGATGGCATTGCGTTCTGCACGACTTAGGTTATGAGGCAAGCGATGTTGTTTTTCCACAATTTCTGCCTGTGCACGTCGGCGGAAGCATTCTATATATAGGTCCAGACTGTCATTTAGACCCTCAGGAGGAGTCCATGTGGAGTTCTTCTTCTTGTGCTGTTGGTGGGAGGGTATCTGTGTATCAGTGCGCTGTTCAGTGTTATCTTGAAAGTATTCTTTGAATCC